CACTTTCACAAAATTTCAAGAAAATCTCGAAATTTTGTCCACCATATTGGATCCAATTACCCATTATAAATTTTCAAAATCTGATTTCGGATTCAAATTCAACGCTCCCAAAAACTTTAATTTCGTCATGCCATTCTAAAGATTTTCATTTTTCGAAACATTTTTAACACGAAAATTTTTCGCCTGACAGCAAAGGGTTAATAATCACTAACCGACGATGCCAATTCAGTTTGTATTGAAATGTACTGAACCAACATTAATGGCATGATGTTCTGTTAATAGTTGCCAAACATCAATGTCAATCATTCACGTTTAAACAGATAAAAAGAGAGAAAGAGAAATTATGCATTCGAAATAATATTTAAGTCATTATGCTCGAGATCCATAAAAAAGAGTTTGCCCACGTGAATAGTAGCGCAAAAGTATACAATAGTAATGGGATCTACGGTAAATATCTTACAATTTGTTTGGAGAGGAGAAATATAATTTGGGAGATATTAGTGTCTGCTTAGAGACAACATTATGAAATCTTAAAGACGTCTAAGAGATATTTCAAAATTCTGAAGGTGTTTTATGGAATTGTAAGAAAAACAACTTTAACATGTTTTATATCCTAATTTCAGAAATGTTAAAGAAGTCACGCTTAAAATTACCTATAGAGGTATGTAAGCAAATATATGTTTCTAAAATGATTTAATTTTTTAAAAAGTTCTAAAAATAAAAAAAGGAAAAAATAAATTTTAATTATTATTTTTTATTATGTTATAGTTCGATGATTATAATTAGATTACGGGTTTATATTCATCCGAGCTATTTAACGCACATTTAATAACTGCTGTCCACAACAGCATTATAATAGATAACATACATTACGTTTAAAAAGTATCCGAAATCATTAAATAAAACGCAAAGTAATTGTTTATTCAATAATATTTACTTTATCTTCTTCAAAGTACTCTCTATTTGATGCAATGCATTGATGCCAAAGCTTGACTCAATCCTCATCAAAGCACTTTTCGTACGCTGTAATTGGTATTGCTTTCAGCTCTCGTTGCGAATTTTCTTTTATGACATCAATCGATTCAAAACGCTTTTCTACGAGTGACAACTCGGAGTTTAGGAAACAGAAAAAAGTCACAGGAAGCCATGTCAGGTGAATATGGTGCTTGCGGAATCACGTTCGTTGAGTTTTTAGTTAAAAATTCTCAAAAATCGATATATGCGATGAAGCATTATATCGTGGTGCAAAAACCATGAATTGTCTTTCCATAAATCTGATCTTTTCCGACGAATATTCTCACGCAAACGCTTCATAATGTCTAGATATTTAATATTCTCTATTAACGGTTTGGCCTTCCGGAAGAAATTCTGAATGCACAATACCACGTTTTCATCAGTTTTATAGTAATATCAGTAATATAAAAAATTATTAGTAATATCAGTTTTGAACGTTGATGGTCAATCAGAACAAGACAAATCAGTAACCACTTCACAATCTTCTTTGAATATCTTATATCAATCATATGCTTGTGTTTTCGATAAACACACGATTCATCAAAGGCCTTTTGTAACATTTTTAACAAATCGGCGCATGACATTTCGTTAGCAACACAAAATTTTAAACAAATTCTTTGCTCAACAGATTTATCCATTATAAAAATCGCAGAAAGTACTTGTGATAGACTAATAAAAACAGCTGCCATAAACAAACTAATTGACAAATCGCGCTCAAACTTTATATGACATTCAAGGACAGTGGTGCCAACTCATACACACAACATTTTTTTCATACATTTAACACGCATCTTTTAAATAACAAATTCCGGGTACTTTTTGAACGTAATGTATGACTTCTTAAATAACTATGTATGTGGAAGAAAGGCAAGTCTCTCGCATCCTCTCCAACTCTCGGCAGAGTAACTCAAAGAGAATATCCACCAAGTCAAATGAGCAAAAATGCACTATCAAATTATGAGTTATTTTAAAGGTTTTACATATTTCCTACAAACCTGAAAAAGACTAAGAGATTATCCTAATAGTATCCATATTCCAATATGTGAATAAATTTTATCATCGGTAAAGTAGAAAATTACAATATGCACTGAAAAGCGTTTTATAAAAGACTATCTTAAAACGTTTTCTCGTATGGACATGATGATGTTCATAGGACGTCTGTTATTAATGTTTTAAAACAAACGTCTTAAATAAGACACTGTTTAAAGATCTCTTAAGTAAATATGTCTGGGTTAACTTTTATATACTTGAATCATGTGTCTGTTTATCTAAATCGTAGCGTAATTTCCACGGAATTAATATTAAAAATTAATTAGAAAAGAAAAATTACTAAAGATATATGAATAAAGCGAACAATATTTTCTATTTGGCACTTCTGACGGAACATTTAGTCATTATTATGTGAACATTTGTTTAAAAGATCACGATATTATAACTTTTTGATGAATAATAATTATCCTCAGTAATGCCGTCGTAACTTTCGCGGTAAACGTTGCCTGACACGAACTCGCAAATTATTGTTCAGGTTCAGGAGGTACGAGATAACGCACAATCAAGATCTTGACTATGGAAGAAACTGAAAAGTTACGAAGTTATATAATAAAGTGAAAAAAATTATTTACAGAAAGTAAACAACAACATTTAAGGATAAATGTAACAGTCGTAATAACAAGTGTATTTGTTATACACGCTACTGCATGACAAATATATTTCCTTTAATGTATTCAATTAAATTAATGTTAACTAAATTAGTTCAATTAAATTAATGTTTTCCTTTAATGTATTCAATTACATTAATGTTAACTAAACACTTTTATATTTCGATCGTCGTTTTAATTTCACCAAATAAAAATCACCGCAATCAACATCAATTAAATTACAAATAACCGAGAATACATCTTGCTCGTCGAAAGTCGATCAGTTTGAGCATATTTTGGTGGCAAAATTATAAATAATTTATGAGAAATATTTTTTTGGAAATTTTTTCAATGAAAAACGGGATGAGGAAAGCGTTAGCGACGAAACAAAGCAGGTCAACCAAACAAAATAGGTGAGCAGCAGGTGAACAGGTACATAGGTAGATATGAGGGAAAATAGGCAGGAAGGTAGGCAAGTGGGCAGACAGGCAGGCAGATTTATTAGATTATGAACCATAAACGGTCAGAACAGAAAGTGCGGTGATTTGAAAGAGAGAAACAGGAGAAGTGAGAAAAAGGTGAGCTAGAAAGAGAGAGAGAAAGAAAGTGAGAATCGGTCAGAGAAACGGAGAAAAGAAGAATTAGAGAGAGAAAAAGACAGAGTGAGAGAGAGGGGATAAGTAAAAAAAGAAAAGAGAGAAAAAGAAGAATAGTAAAAATAAGCAAGAAAAAAACAACGGAGCGGAGATAGATACGGAAGGAGAGAAGAGAAAAGATAGGAGATGAAAAAGAAGATATAGAGAAGAACAAGAGAAAGAGGATGAGAGAGAGGAGAGAGGAGGAGGAGAGAAGAATAAAGGGAGACGAAAAAGAGAATAGAAAAACGAGTGAGAGGCGAAGGGGAAATAGAGAAAGGAAAGGCAGGGCAAAGTAAGGAGAGAAATAAGGGAAGAGAGAGAAAGAAAGAAAGAAAAAAGAGGAGGAAGAAAAGAAGAATGTGAGAAGTACAGAGGGGGGAAATCGGAGCAAGGCACAGATAGAGAGAAAGGAAGAAAGAAATATAGAAAGGGGGAAATAGGAAAGAAGGAAAGGGAAAGAGGAAAAGAAAGGCAGAGAGAGAGGAGAGAAAAGAGGGAGGTAGAGAGAGAAGAGAAAAAGAGAGAGAGGGATGGAAGGGAGTGGGAGAGGAGGGGGAAAGAGAAATAGGGAAGAGGGAGAGAGAGAAGATAAATAGAGAGAGATAGATAGAGATAGAGATAGAAAGAGGGGAAAGGTGGGGAGAGAGAGAGAGAGAAAGAGAAAGATAAATAGAGAGAGAGAGAGAGAGAGAGAGATATATATGCTGGAAAACACGCGCAGGCGTCTACGTTCGCCTCCATCGTGGCGCCTCCACCCTCCTCCCTTACGCGGTCGACTCACCCTCGCTTTCCTGCCTTCCTCGTCGCTCTCCTCTCCATCCCTGAGCGTTGCTCGTTGCGCCTCGGTCAATCCGCGAGCAGTATGGCGCCACGCGCTCCGGGACGGTAACGTACGTAGTCGTTGTCACGTTCAGCGTTCATCCACCGTCACGTCGCGTGAGCCGTGGCAACCCTCGGGGAGTAAATTCGCGCGCGAATTACAGTTTGTTGATATCACGCTCTTGCAACTCGAATATAACATCGCGGGAAAAGCAAGAGGTCGTTGGAGGGAGACTGATAAGGACATCTCGATGCCGAAGGGCCGAAACTACAGTGAGAACGACTGCGAAACGTAGTGAGAGGATTTCAATAGGGCAAACGGGCGCAGGCCAGGAGTCTCCACGTTAATATGCAACCGCGTGCATTGCGTCCGGCCCAACGACCGTGGTAGAGGACGCCGGATAGCGTGTGCGCCAAGAACATTACGGTGACGAAGAGGCTTCTTCAGCGGTGTGCGGTAGGCAATAATCGGACAATCGAGAATGACGGACCCCTTAATGGTCATCACCAGCATCGATATTATCAGCAATATCACGGAGAGGATTGCAAATATAATAACGACGACGGCGATATTTACGAAGGCCACGATAACGGCGAGTTTTCGAAAAATCACGTGTCCGCGTATCGTTTAGGACAGCGATGTGAGAGAGCTGCAACAAACATTCGCACAAAGGAGCACCACGTTCACATCGCGTCAGGGGAGGCGCAGAGGGTACGCTGTCGGAGAAGGAAGCCGCAGTTGTTACCAGCTGATCGCCAATAAACACAACTGAGCGCGCGCGCGGCATGTCTCTTGTTAATTAACACCGAATGCTCTCTCGTTCCTCGTTGACACTCTGGAAGAATTACTCACTGGACTACAGTATACCGAATTGCACAGCCTATCTACAAGATGGCATGTCCATTCTCCGGACGTTTCAAGTCGACCCACAAAGACGAGAGAAACATAGAAGAGGACCATCGCAGGCTCGCAAGAATCAGACAGGATGAGAGAGGCAAGCCACCGCGGCAAACATCGGTTCAAATAACGTCGTCGCTCCTGGGAGAGGACAACGAGGAGCTCGAGGACACACAGACGCTTAATCTGAAGCACTTGAGAGCCGCGGTGATCGTCCTGACTAACCCTTCGGTATTGAATAAAGAGCAATCTCTTTTTCTAGATTACTTCTCGCCACATGCTCGCTTGCATACTACCGTACATTCATACCACCCACACACACACATACGCAAACACACACATGCACGCGCGTACTCTCGCCGCAGCGCGGTTAACGCCATCCATGTAACGCAAGTTCCTAATACACGTTCGTAGTATTAGTAAATGTATTAGGGTAACTCTTAAACTACGGATGAACTGCACGTTGCACTCGCCGTCGTCCACAAACTTTCAGATGGAAGCGAAGTGCCAGAACCGCCTAGGAAAAAGACGGCTTTGACGCTTGAAAAAGCAACGTCGGGTCTTGTACGGCTTTTCTCTCGATGAGTTCAAAGTCGGATTAGTGCAGGCGGTGACACGCAATTGGTTTAGTTCGTCCGAGGTTTTATTCCACTTTGTCGTCCGTGTACACTTCTCCGCTGCGAATTTCGCTCTTTACTTTCGCTCTCTCAAAGCCGCTATAACCGTGGATACGAGTGCGACCGAGTTCTGTTTTCAAAGAGGGCACGATCGTGATAAACGAGACGCCGTATTGGGGTCGTTTTGATGGGCAGTATCTACACACCGTTGGATGGTCGAATTTATATTTATCACGACGACCTAAATGTCGGAGGGATAAATCGAGGCGACATTCGCCTTAATTTAACCGGCTACGTTTCGGAGAGCGCTAAGTAAATCGTGAGTCAACAACATTTTTAGCATATTTTGCTACTACTGCCTATTTGATATCACCCTACGAAATCTCTCCGCCACAAATATACATACAATGACGCGTATTTATGGCCGTTTATTAAGCCAAGATCGTTAGAACAAACTTTAACAATCTCGCAAAGAGAGTAAATTCGGGCGGTATTTTCGCCTCAATTCGATTGTGTTTGAAAAAACGAAAAGCAAATATTACAAATCGGCAACATTCGTCAAGCATATCGATGAGCCGTTTAATAGCCCGAAGAAATCAACCTCGTTGTTCCGCTGGAGGCGTACGAGCGATAACGATTACGCCAATTGCTATTTATCACGACGTACGAACTCTCCCGTTCCTTCCCTTTTTATTAGACAGAAATCGCTGTCAAACTTCCCATACGTTAAATGGTCACGGAAGTCGCCGTGAGGATCGGGGCTGTTTTTCATTGTGAACTAGGTCGGAAATATGTAATAAATCCAGCGAAAAGTTTCCTGCCGTCCCCGTTAGAGAAAGCAGGAGTTTTCAAGTTCCTGCTCCGCGCGCAGAGGCAAACCGCGTTAGCGGCTCACGCGAACGGCCAATGTTTTCAAACCTTGTCCTGAGAGGGCACAGAGCTTCTTACCAAAGCGTTCCACATTAAACTTGGCACGGAAGTCTACTCTTCTGTTAACCCACACTTCTTTCGTGATGCCCACGCGGCTTCGGAGAACTTACGTTGTAAATTGCACAATAAACAACTACAAATGCGATATCTCATTGAAATGTATCTCTAGTTCGCATATCCGATTATCATAAATAATAGCTCGTAAACGTGATCAGATCGACATCAACCGATGTGTTTCTCTCTAAACAAACAAAAGTGCACGACGATATATTGTTTTATTAGAGAACGTGTGTTTATCTTCAATCAGTCGATGAATCGTGCACGCATATCGCTGATGTAGCATCATGCCGCTTCTGTTTATTGAATTGCGATAATTCAGCGAGTTTTGTGCAGCGATTCAATCATATCGATTTGATTCCCCTTCCATGATCGTATCTGTAGTTGGCAAATGTCATTGGTATTTCAGAGGGTTAACGGCGTTTGATGGCAGATTAGGAGAACGCGCGGCACTTAAGGCGATAACGTCGGGTGCAAATCCGAGAGACCACATACAGAGCCCACTACTATCAGCTTCCACGCATGTACGACGAAGCGAGTGGAAATGTGTGGTTTCTTGCGAAATTAGACATGAAGGAAAATGCGATGCGAAGTTCCTATTAATGGGTGAAATCGAATGTATCTCGCGATACTCATCGTCGAGCTACATCGCATCGCATTATGTCACAGTTTCGCACGAAGGATGCGACTCTGCTTCATGAAAGACAAGCTGCGCTTTCTTCGAGCCTCCGTCAGCGCTGAAACAAACGCGCAACAACCAGTCATGTTAACTTCTTGTTAACTGACAAAGTGGAGAAAGTCGAAATGGAGCGCGAAATTAAGCGCGCTGCCAACCGCAAAGTACTCTCGCTGTACCATTTCGATTGACATTTCTCGCGATAAATGCGATCACATAGAAAATCTTCAGACTAGCAGTAACGGATTGCGCTTAAAATCTTGGGTGTCAGATTAAAGCCACTCTGGATAGATATTAATGACACGGAGATTCGACGCGACAAATCAGGCCCGAGGTTTCGATTATCGATTGAACTTTTGCAAGAGTTCAAGCGAGACAATAGACTATGTGAAAGGAGAACCGTTTAATTCCGCGCGACGGAATATAAGATAGCTTTTCTAATATAGGATTCTAATCGACAGATCCCTTCAACTCCCGAAGCTGCAGAGCTTGAAGCGCAACGAACGAAAATCTTCGCGTGCTATGAGCTACTTCGCGATAACAAATTCTTCTTTTTTCCATGAGATATACTTAGGAAAGTGCGATTTATAAAATTGTGTATCATGTCATTTTTTTAAGAATCGCAATGAATGCAGTATATCGCATCACACTTTTCGAAAATATAATTCTAAATCATACGCGACTTTATATTGCAAATACAATTTTAAATCGCGGATGATTTTATAATTTTTAATCATAAGGCAATCTAGGTTATGACAGAAACCGTTTAAATAAATGTGTTAAACGAATAAAAATACATAAATCAACTCTCTCTTTGTATTACATCAAAATATTCTTTGAGATGTCCATTATAAAAGAACAGAAGTTTTATTTTGAAAGAATAGTTAAAAATGAAAGCATTATGAAGTTAAATGAGTTTTCTGATATTGAAAGCTGAATTCACTTTCGTGAATTTTTTCGTGAATAAAAATGGAGATATAGTTAACAAGTGATATATTTTCTAAAAGTACATTAAAAATATATTGCAAAAAATATTTTATATCTCATTGTTTTATATCTCATTGTATTTTATATCCCGTTGTTTTCCAATGATTAGTACAATATGGCGGAAAAGTTAGGTCTGCATTGCGAACACAATCAAACGATAACCATCTTAAAGACCTTGCAATGAGTTTAAAAATAAAAACCGCGATTTTCTTGATGACTAAACTTGTAATTTTTATATGAAACAGTATAATTGATATCGCATGCAAATTTTCAATATAACAGCAGTTTGAATAAAAATTTCATTTTTACTCATTCTTCCTTTATTTCGGTCCCAAAAAACATGAAAAATTAACATAAGTTATTAATCTGAACCACCATTAATGGGTCAAATCATTGATCGTGGTTTAGACAATAACGGTATATTTGTTGAATATAAATATAAAACCATAAGACAATCGGAATAGTAGTTTCTTTTTTTTAATCGTGGTCACACACACACCATATATGAAAATATGATTTCGAGAAAAAAGCGTTTAAAGTTGTGTTAAACTTTCCCACGATAATACATACAAACTATTAGACTTATCATTATTCAGCTAAAAGAAAAATTATATTAAAATTAACAAATATTTCCTTGATGGGGTCCATTAATATATTTATTTAAATCTACATTCTCTTTATTTAAATAAAATATTGTTTACCTGATTTAAATAAACAATATTCAAAGCAATATTTGTTGATTTTAATATAATTTTCTCTCAGTGTACTCCATAAAGAGAATTTTCTTCTTTTTCATATATTTCGTTTTTCATTTTTTTTTTCTTGGATTGTCCTCGCCTCTCGAGCGGCAATTTTCACTTCCTTTGAACTAAAGAACGCTCGATGAGCCAAGTGTTTGAGACGGACTTCGTACCGTGAAATAGCTAAGTTGTAGACTGTGCTACTGGCTGTGTTACGCCAATTGTTTCCATAATTTTAAGCATACTCATGAAGCCATCATTAAATATACTGACGGCTAAAAAATTGGCGGTTTCAACTATCCTTTTGCTGGCATAGATATGGATTATCATTATATATATTATATTATATGTATATATATATATATATATATATATATATATGTGTGTGTGTGTATGTGTGTGTGTGTATGTGTTATATATTATATATATGTTTGCGTCTTCGTGTATTCGCTTTCTACAATATTCCAAACAAAACGCCTAGAGTGGAAAAAAATTGTGTCCTCTTAACATTATAGAATATTGTCAACGCATGTATATTTACATACATATATTTACATTCTATTATTCACAAGACAAAAGAGATCGAAGATAAAGAAGCCAGCAGGCGTGCGCTACTTGAATCGGCCAACATTCGTACGCCAATTCGTATATCATCTGCCTGTATTTATTGTATCTGTATTGTACCTGTATGGCTAATTTTTATTTTTCCCAGATGATATTTATGTGGTTTATTTCTAAGACTATTAGCTTTCAAAAAATGCAAAAAAGTCGATTTTAAACTCTCAAGACCAAAAACCCCGTTAACCCTTTCACTGCTAGTAGGAAGTATATTTCACATTTGTTTTTTTCATTTTTATTTTGTAAAATTTGTAATTTTGCGAAACTAATCATGATTTTGGGATTTTCTGATGTAGAAATACTTACTTTATATGTTTCTCAAGGTTCTTGCATGCAATTGTTTACTTGTAGTTATTTATAACATATTAAAATAAAAAAAGTGATTTTTTCAAGAAAAATGGATTTTCGAAAAATATTTCATATTAAATGCTAAAAATTTTACCAGAGATTCTGCATATGTTGTAATACAATATATATTTTTCAGTTTTTTTTGCAGGTTAGATTACTTTTTATAAATAAATTACTTTTTTACTATGTCTATAAAATTTTCTTTTTCCGCACATATCAATTTTATGTTTCATATCTTTTATATTGTAACTTAATTTT